TGGCTCACGATCAACCTGCTGGCCACCGCTGGTCTTTTAGCCACTGAAGCTCCCCGCTGACTCACCCTGCGGCTCCACAGAGCCGGGTGCCCCCTCCCCAAGCCCCCCGGGACCCACGCACCCAATTGAGGCTGGGCTCCCGGCTGAACTCGTGGCTCTTGGCGGCGCTGAAGTCGTAGTCGGGCCGGAAAGACTCGTTGAGCGTCGCGATCAGGTAGAAGAGCGTCTTGCGGCTGCACTTGTCGCTCAGCGGCCCCTCTTCGTCACCGCTCTGACTCTTGCTGAGCCTGAGGCACGGAACAAGCAAAGTCAAGTCACAGGAGCCCAGCCTGTGCACCATGGCTCTGACCAACCCCCCCAGCCCCCAACCCGAGCACCGTTGGTCCCGTACCTGCTGGGGCTGATCCCCGTGGTCTGAGGGGGCGACAGGGCCTCCAGGACGTGGGGTTGGCCCTCCTGGCAGAACTGCTTGAACATGTGCTTGTCGTCGCCGGCCATCTTGCAGGAGTAGCTCTCGATCCTGCGGAGAAACCACAGCGCTGTTTGGGACGTGGGATTGGCAGCGCCAGGACCGACCCCACAGCTCTCACGTGCAGCTCAGGAGTGCAGAAACCCAAAGGAGCTCTCGGGTGAAGCCTCAAAGCTGCTCCCCCCACTGCCCGGCTCCAATGTGGGAATGAGAGCTGGGCACGGGATCCCAAAGGGCTCAGTGCTGCTGATCTCAGCTGCTGCTGATCCCCGTGGGGCGCAGTGACCGATTCCCCACCCTGGCCAGCCGTCACAATCATAGTTGAACACAAACTCCCAGCAAAGTCCTTCCGGATGTTTGAGCTGCTCCATCACCTGCAGATCCCTCCAGGCCTGCCGTGAGATGGGAAAGCCAACGTCTGCAGCTCCTACCCACCCCTGCTCCGTGTCCTCTACATCATGGGGAGAGGAGAGGAAACACCACGGGGTGTTCAGCCAACGGTCACACAGATGGGACGAGGGGGAAGGGACCCTTAAGATCAGTGTGGAGTCACAGAATGGGTTGGAAAGAGCACAGCCCTGTAGAGCTGCCTGGGGACGTGGTGTTGTTACGGAGGGGTGACGGCTCTGCCAGCACTGCAGAGCGGTGCAGGGCTGGAGGAGGAGGGCACCAGGCAAGGGAAAGAGAAACCAGCTGCTAGCCAAGGTGAAAGGCACCAAACAGGGTAAATCAGCAGTACCACGGCATGGCAGAGGAAGGAACAGAGAGCCAAAGCACAGAGGTGTTACCAGAGGGGAAATTGAGACAGAGAGAGGAAGGAGAAAGCCTGGGCACGGAGCAGCGGCTGGCTCCAATTATCAAACCACAGAATGGTTGGGTTGGAAGGGTCCTTGAAGATCCACAGGGCTGATAAGGAGAGGCTGAAGGAGCTGGGAATGTTCAGCCTGGAGAAGAGGAGCTCAGGGCAGAGCTCACTGCTCTCTATGGCTGCTGAAGGCAGGCTGCAGGGAGCTGGGGGTCGGCCTCTGCTCTCGTGCCATCAGTGATGGGAGCAGAGGGAACGGCTTCAAGCTGCGGCAGGGGAGATTCAGGCTGGACATGAGGAAGA